AGCCTCTTGCATCCATGCATCCTTTCATTTGCATCATGCAATGTTTAAAAAAGGTGGGTATATATATATATATATGGGCTCGTGGACATTTCGGGGCCCCATGTAAATGCATTTGCTAACAAATCAATCATCTAACATCTGCTCATCTAGCGTTTGCTGCAAAGAAATCATCATTGAATGGAAAGTAGAAAGAAATCATCAAATAGAGCTGGACATGGTAATTCATAAACACGAAAAGAATGACAGTACTCTAGGGAATAGAAGATGAAAAGGAAGCAATGAATAAATTAGGATGAATAATTCCTTTCAGTTTCTTTTAGAAAGGATACGTTGATATAATTACTTGCATGTTCCCTTTGAACAATGATCAATTCCTTTCATTTGTCTTTTAAACCATATCACTTCTGCTCAACATATACATATAAATATGCGTCATTATGCTTCTTGTTACTAGTAGCGATTGCCTTCAACCTACTTGCGATGGCCTCCACCTAGTAGCGATAGCCTCCACCTAATAGTTTCTAGCTTGCATCTCGCTTTGTCTCAGTTTTTTGTCCAATTCACTTTGTGATTGCTGAGATTCTGTACTTTCCGTTGGCCAAATCTACATGGACAGTGTCGGTGGTGCCTGGTGATGGATGCACCAAGTAATCCTGGAATTTCACGGGGCACCTGGGACACCCTTGAGACCTGCAGGGCGTGACCGGGCGTTGTAACCAGAGCACACCGCGGAGTTTAGCCCAGTTTTCACTGATGGTTCTCATCAACTGGGTGAGTGGAGTGGTGCTAGTTCGTGCTTCTGGTATAGTGGCACTGCACTTCATTCAGTGCAAGTGATTGTTCATATTCACCGCTGGTGCTGGGAACCGATGCTCAGGGTCCTCTCGAGTTGAGGATGCTTTACTGAGACTACGACGACGACTATGAGTACTCCTACTCCTGCCACTACCACTACGACTACTGCCACTACTACTACAACGACCATGACTAATTGAAAACAATATTTATATGTTGGACACCCCTGGCCATTTTGGAACTTTTGGTGCACAACCATCAGAAGGTGGCGCAAGGCTGCAAAATACCCAAATGTGTTTTTCGGTTTTAATCGTTTCCAGTTTAGGGCTGGGATGTTCGCCTTAGGCGAACCATACCCCCGAAGGCTACGGCTACGACTTTATAGTCTTCCAACTACGCGAAGCATACCTCCGAAGCATACCCCATAGTCAAACATGTCCAAAAAATACCACCGGCCAGGCTGGGAGATCTCTCCAAAGTGGCCGACCGAGCACTGGGAGACATGAAGTGGCTTGGCTCACCGGACGAGGGCGGCGGTCGTCCGCAAGATGAGCTGGTGGAGTCCTTTGGAGCGATCCAACTCGGATCCTCACTATGATCCTCACATGTCATCCTGACAAACGTACATATACAGGATTTGATATGATTTGATCAGAACTTTTTTAAAGTATGTGTATATATATATATATTGTTCAAATGGATCCGCCGAGTTCGAGATTCGTTCGCCTCGTGTTTTTTTTGTGTCCATTTTGGCAAACACCGACCAACGAGCCGTAAAATCTTTGGGTGGCGCTGGAGAACATCCGCCTTGATTTGGTTTTAGAAACATGACGCGATGAGATGCCCGTAGGGGATGTTGCTTCGGCCCAGGTGACAGGATTCTGTGTTCCATGTGTTTGCCAGACCTGGCAGCAGTACTCTGACACAGGGGCGACCAGCTCTGTTTTTTCTAGATGGCTTAGATGGTCGTGCTATTGAAAGAAGTTGTGCATAGCTGGTGTTTGTTAGTTTCTTCCAATGTTGAGTCCTGCTGAAATAAAGAACTAGTGCATGTTTTCTAGTCGTTCATGCTGTCCCGGGACATGTTTAAGAGAAGGGCCGACTTGGCCAGCATATACACTGACTGGACTTCTTGCACCAGTCTCGTTATGGGTGGTTTCGGGGGAGATGTGTTTTTGCCATGGTTGAGGGTCGCTAGTTGGTGTTTTCTCCCTTCGGAAGCCGGGTGTTGCTTGATAGATCAACAGGCTCACTAATTGGAGCCTGCCGGGAAAGTCCGGCAATGCCCAGAGAGGTGTTCAAAACATGTGCCCACATGGAAAGAGTATGTGGGCGGGTGCATCATATTCATGACAGCAACCTTGGCGGTTTCTCACCGCCCTTGCACTGCATACAACGGTGCCTCAACGGTCATGCAATGGATGAAGTGTTGCCATGACTTTGTCGATATAGAAAGCAGAGCGCTGCTCAAGCCAATCCATTTCGCGCTTGCAATGGAGGGCAAACTCTCCAAGAGGGCAAGGCCTGAGAAAGAGGAGGACTGATGGCCCTTCCTGCCATTGTGGAATGTACAATTACCAACAAGCAGCAAGCAAAAGTCCTAATTGAGGCGCTCACAAAAAATAACTTACGGTATCTATCTATCTATCTATCTATCTATCTATCTATCTATCTATCTATCTATCTCTATGTAATGTAACGTAATGTAATGTAATGTGATGTAATGTAATGTGATGTGATGTAATGTAATGTAATGTATGTATTAATGTAATGTAATGTAATGGTATGTATGTATGCATATATATATGTGTGTGTGTGTTTAAAACGGAAAGTGTGCTTTTCCGGACTCAATCTAGACTTTGGCATCATGTGTTTCGCAGTCGCCCAGGAGATGAACGTGAAGCAGCGAAAGTTGGACAGCTGGTGCCGCCCGAGGCTCGATGTCGAGTCCTTTGGGTTCGGAAAAAAGAAGGCGGAGCACTTTTGCGACCATGGGACCAGTAGGACATCCACAATGGATGGTAGGCAATGGTGACCAAAATGGCAAAGGCTGTAAGTCTCTTGTGGCGAGAGCTGTGCAAAGTCAGATTAATAGGCAACTATATACAGTGGCTTTATATATATATATATATATATCACCGCGGGATTTCGTACCACAAGGGCAAGGGACTACCTGCACATCAATGCGCATTGCACCATGCCATGATCTCAATTTGTTTTTGGTTCATCAGTCTGAGCACCTTGATTTGTGCCGAGCAGACCGGGCCGAGTTCAGTGCAGACCGGACAGACAGACGACGCGTGCCTGGGAGCGACACGTTTTGGTTTTGGAACCTCTGAAGGAATGGCACGACCGCAGATCACAGTGCTTGCAATGGAGTAGGAATATGTCGGAATTATACGACCAAGAGATTTCGCGGAGGTTGCTGATGCACAAAAACACAACTGGAGCCCTCAAAGCATGCCCAAATGCCCCAAGGAGGTGAGTACTGTGCCACATTCAAACGCAGAAATCACCACGAAAACAGACCAAGTATAAGACATACCCTCCGACTCACTAACATGCATGGTTACGTGGATGGCATGGACTCTTTTTTTCCATGACTAGGGTGGGCCATCCACGAATAGGGTGGGCCATCCACGTAACCATGTGATGTGCTTTATGTAACGGAGTGTGGCCATACCACATGGGCCATCCCGGCCATCCCCAGCGGGTCCAACCCTTGAAGGTCGGAAACACCGGCGGCAGTGGCCACTCCTTCGCGTGCTGGCTCTTGGATGTTGGAGGAGCCGGTATCATGTGATGAGGGAGATGAGGAAAGGTGGATTTGATACTCTGAACCATCTCTGACCCATGGAAAGACCATCCTCTACCAACAGGTTCGCCTTCCACTTCCATGTTTGGTGCAGGGAGGGCACATACTTGTCTGGGATAAGCTGTTTGTTGCTTGCCAGTTTCTTTTGTATCCATATTCTTTGGCTTCAAAACGTGCTCCATGGTGGGCAAAGGTCATTGTATAGGTTCGATTGGCATGACCGAGTGTTTTGCCGGCTGCCTAGGCTAGGCCATTCGGAGAGGCTGTGCGTCAGAGCACAGTAAGATACAAAAGCAGCCAGACTTGCACTTTTGTTGAAGGTGCCTTTGCTCAATGAAAAGGGGGTCCTGAGTTCAAGATGTTTTGCTGCCAGGAGCCACGGATATACCATAGAGATTTTTCTTTTTGTTTTAATGTTCCATGTGGCCGATGAGGTAACCCAGGGGATTCCGTTGTCAATGACAATGCCCATTCTCGTGAGGTTTGGAGTCTTGGTGACCTCCATTCGGTTTGCATGGCCACCAGTCTATATAGATTGCCCTTAGTTATATATATATATATGAGACTGCAATGCCTGCCATCACGAGGAGCTTCCAGACGCTGCGTCTTTGCGACACTTGCTTGCACGAGAGCCAACACTGCGAGTTTGGTGAAATACTTGGTTCTGAATTCTTATTTTTAGGCTTTTTGCCACTGGGTGTGGTTTGTCGGGGGGGAGCTAGAATTTGGACAGGGACAATAAGGACATCCCCAATCCAAACATGAGACGAGACCAGGTGCGGTTGCCCAACAAGAGACTGTGGGGCGGGCAAGGTGTAAATTCATAATTTGTTGTAGACTCATGAGTACAATCGTCGATCATTCCTGAAGATATATTTTATATCCCCTGCCGAATGGCACCTGTAGAATCTGAGAGGTCAAGCTCAAAAAGACCATCTGTATTATAGACAGATTGTCTCTAGAATGAGATATCAACCTACCTACTTGAAACTATGCTAGCCTATAACCCTGTGCTTTCACAGGTTGATCTTTCATGATGTCAAAAGGTTGAGCTGAACCATCTTATTATAGAGAAGGCATGAGAATGCACCTGATTTTATTGAGGTTGTAGTTTTGATTGTATAGACAGCATTTGGAGTAGTAGTAGGAGGCTGGAAATTCGTTTCAGAGTGGATGGTGTGTTGAGAGGTCAGGTAGGTTGGTCCTGCATTTTATAGAAACTGCTTGCATTTGTTCAGGCTCGAAATGTGCCTTTTTTTATATAATGGATGTGAATGTTGGGATGCTAGATTCCAATCGTCCAATCATCCCTCTACAACAACATTTGTGTTTAAAGCGTGTTCTGTTTCTTAATTGTTTGCCTAACCTTCTTCTAAAGTGACTTTCGACCCTGCAGTGTCCAAACATACTGTATCTCTATGAAATCACTATCAACCTCTTGTGCCACGTTTGTCGAATCATGTTCTAAAGTCATTTTCAACCGGATGTGTATCATATATTTTCCAAGCTTTGGCATCAAAATTGACCGAGGAAAATCATACTCGTATCTTTGCTCAAAAGGATGAGCTGAACCAATTTTATAGAGAACAGGCTCTCAGCATTGCACGGGCTGAGCATTTAATTCGTTTGTTCAGCCTTTCTTTGGCAGAGGTTAGTTAAGCCATTTACTGTATATCTATAAAATGGCATGCCTGGGATTCACCGGTTATTCCACAGAGGATCATTTTAGAAACAAGGATTGAATATTAGAAGGATGTTCACTAAAGTTCAGCATATCCAACCGAATCTTTGAGCATATTGCTGGGCACTCCGGCAAACATTATATATATATATTTATATATATTATAGATTTATTTGTTTATATATATATACACATTATGGTTTTGCTGGGTCCACGCCACTTGGGCCGAACTTAGGCCTCAAGGGCACCATGCGCATGGACGTGCGCAGCAAGCGCAAAGAGGAGGCGAGGGGGGGGCCAACGAGTCCCACGAAGACCCCACCCGCTTGTCCTTCAGGTGGTGGTGATTCCAGACTCCGATGAGGAAAGGGAAACCGTGTCCGGTGCTCAGATGTTCGGGGTGTTTGCCGAACAAAACCAGGCATGGTCCACGTCTGCCTGCGGAGCTTCAGGGTTACAGTAGCTACTGTGACAGCACCATTTCTGCCAGCACTTTTCGAAGCAACAGATGTCTAAACCTTCCAAATAGCTGCACAAAACCCAGGGCAACTGGATGCAACTGGTCTCCATTTCGCTTCTGATTTGCCACATCCCGAGGCCCAAGCGGAGCACGAAGGGCATTCTGCGCGTGTCGGCGGGCCGTGCGGCGGCCGTGGCGGGGATTCATTGCTATGCCGATGCTTGGGAGTGCTGAACGGCAGGAAGATCTGCATGTTTGTTTGAATGCAAAACAGCACATTTGACACAAGAAAACACACAATATCACACAATAACTAAGAGCATATAAAACCAAGTTCATTGTTTTCTTGAACAGAAAAACACACAATAAGAAGTGCATTATGTGTTTGTTCTTTTTCTCCAGGAGTGTGGGCTAAGAAGGGGCGAAAGTCGGAGTTCCACCTTGAAAACTTTTGAAAACATATCGTCCAAACTGTAAGAAGGCGCGTGTCAGCCTCTCTCTGTCATGTCGCACCCCTTTGGAACTTCTGACGCGAACAACTTCAGCTCCGGCAGCCTAGGATGTGGGGGAGGTCTTTTTGGAGCTCCTCTACCAGGCGGGAGGCTGAGGTTTTTTATGCTGACGCTTGCGCGGGCGCCACTCTCGGCACAGGCTTCACCCATTTGCCCGATTGAGCTGGTAGAAAGGGACATGGCATGCTTCAAATTTGGATGAAGTAGTCACAGATCCTATGTTCACTCCCCACTGCCACATCTCCCCAAGCCATCATCCCCACATCACCGTAATAGACCATGTTCACTGCCTGCTCGTTGGCTCGCGGCTCACGGGGGGGCGGCGCCCGTGCAGGATCAGCCGGAGCTGCTCCTGGCAGATGCGCAGCTGGCGGGCGTTGAAGTGGTTTCCCCTCAGTTGGAGCGCGCGCGGCTGGTGGAGAAGAGCGGGGAGGTGGACCCGGACCGTGGCGGCGAATCCATTGGAGCAATTGCTGGGTAATCTCCATGAGACCGTCTGTGTAGATCCCGGGTTCATGAACATTTGTGACCACCGCAGCTGACAATGGAGCTCACCTTGTACCACTTGCTAGATGGTGGCTCACGTAGTGGATTGCGCGATCCTGTTGTTCATCAGTTGGCCTTTGGGAGCTTGCAATCTCCATGTTTGGCAAGGGTATTAGTCATCACCCGTTGCCTGTTGCCTTTCCACATCTCGAAAGACAGAGCATGCCAGGGCACCTTGCACACACTACAACGGGCTTCAAATCTCTCAAGAAGCAACCAATTACCACCCGGATAGGAGGTATTTCATTCACAACTGCTATAATTATATAATTATACAATATACAAGGTCAACAGTGATATGTGTTCAATCAGATCTAGGGCTGGGGTCATCACCTATGATGGAGTACCTCTAACACATGAATTGTGCATCAACATGGAGTGCTCCACGTTGTCACTCCCTCATAACGCCCCGAGTCCACAAGGCCACAGGCTTGGAGGCAGCACTCAAGGCCGCCCAAGAGGCTCAGAATGTGGAGGCTGCCGAGGCGGGCGCGCGAGGTTTCGCCGCGGAGCACGTGGGGACAAGGCTGGAAGAGAGCTGCAACTGGACAGACTGGAGTAATCTGGAAGAATTGATAGGCAATGATGGATTGTGCCCACATGATCGATTTGATACCACAGGATCCACTCCTTCATTCCTAGCACCAACAGGTAGAGCATGTGGATGACTGGAAGTGTGGAGGACTGGTACAAAAGTTTCGCTTCGAACCTTTGGAAGGTTTTGATGATTTTCCTCCCTAGGTGGCGAGGACAGCTTGTGGGACAGCTGTGTAGGTTTTGTATGGCCAGATTAGGGATGACCACCCTTCCACTGAGTTGGAGATGGGCAACTCAGCAAATGCACCCGGTTAGCCCCTTCTTTTTTTCGCGGTATTTCTTCACCTCCGCCGTGATCCCTTTCCAAGTGATCGTTTTTGGGCGCTCGTCCGTGTCTCAAGCAGGGGGCTCGCAGCCAACTGCGAGACCTCGTGGCGAAGGCCAAGGCAGATGGACGAATCACAGCTGAAGAGGCGAGACCAACGTCTGAGCTGAGCCGGGGGTATGATGCCATCCTCCCAATCGACCGGGGGGTAGGTCCCAACTTGGACTAGGTCCATTTGCAGCACCAAACTCTCAATCTGTGGTAGATTTTTGAGTCATTGGAAGAGGATGATCAAGACACACACACACATATGATATGGTCACATATGTATATATATATATATATCTCTCAACACCACGGGTGCGATCGAGTATGACAGATGGTACGCTCCTTCCGAAGCGAGACGCCCGATGGTACGCGCCCCCTCGAGGCCTTGGCCTCCTTAGGCCCAAAGGTGCCCTTTCAAGACACAAAGAGAATCGCTCCCTGATGGTGTTTTGCTAACATTGCAACGGGATTTGATTTGCTACCCTGTAGGCGGCAGAGTTGCAACAAACTTTGGAGTTGGAAGTGAACCTCGACTTTGGCGCGCGGCACGAGGACCAATATACGACTTGGTTTTCGATGTGGTTCATACCCCTTTCCAGGCACGCCCAGTTACACTTTAACATGGCATTGCTATGTTTTTTCTAGCATTTTTAAAGACCCAAACAGTGAAATTATGTCAAATTAATGTGTCACGCTCCAACTAGCAGGAGTTCGCAATGTATCTACATAATCTTCACAAAGCAAGGCAGGGGATAAGTTTAAATTAGTTTAAATGTCAATATACATATATACATATAATATTGGGTGAAAACAACTATGAAAACCATATGTTGAATGTAATTTGCTATGACCTGATCTTATGGATTAAGTTCGGACATATACACAGACGCATCGAGTTCGGGCATCTTCGATTTCGTGTCTTTGTCATCGAGACGGCGTGCGGCGCACCACCGCACGCAAGGGCACGGATGTGCCTTTATGGGCGGGGAGGACTCAGCGATCGAACGTTACGAGAAGAAGGTGGGCTCCAAAGTCTATGGCCAACAACAACGTGCCACGGCGGATCGGAGGTGGGCGAAGGAGGTGGGCGCGAGCTGAGTGAGGCCTATATCAGGCCCAGGAGGTCAGATGAAATGATGGGTGCTGAGACGTGATGAGAGCTGGACCAGTTGGTTTCAGTCGAGTTGTCCATCACAAATGGAAGAACAGGAATTATGAATTACTGATGGCGACCAGAAAGGTCACAGCTACAGCCAGAAAACGCCAGGTAGGCCTAGACCAGAGAGATCCGAAGAGTAAAACCTCGAGTCAGGGACATTGCAACAGTAGGCGACCCAATCTGGTGCCGTTCCTGCAAAGTACACGGATGAGACGGATCAGCATTTTTGCATAAGTGCCAAGAGAATCGCAAAATAGACTTGCATCCAGCCACGACCAATTCTACTACCAGCTATCAATGAACAACAGACAACGATACATATATATATATACTGTAATATATATCATATAAACTGTGTTGCCAGTTCGCACATGTTACAATTTGTTTCGTTTCGTTGTTGCCACAGCCATTTTCCCGGCCGGGTGGACATCACTGTTTGCTTGCCAGCCACAACCTGAGCTGACACTTGTTTTGGGCAGTCAACAAATTCGACATGTAACTCAGGCCTTTGCCTTGGCTTTGCCCTCTTCAAAGACCTCCTTTGCTTCCAGTTCGGGCTCTCATGCGCATTGGTTAGTTGGAAGTTCTTCATAGTCCCAACCCAGTCCACAGTCCGTTTTCTGGCTCAGACCGAAGTCCACCGTCCACGGTGACCTTGTGGCATCGTCATGGTGGAGCGCGTGTCTTTGGCCCAGGAAGCCGCAAGGCATGAGGCAGAGAGCGCTGCTGTGGATCCACCAGCTGAGGCTCAGAGGCCTGACAGCAGCAACTCACGCATGGCACTCTCAGACGCACGAGTCGCGGCAAGCAGGTTTGAGCAGTCGGTGCTGTCGCAGGGCGTTCAAGTTGCTCCAGGCATTCTTCATGTTTGAGGCCTGCGGATGTCTTGGCCCACTCTACGTGCTGTGGTTGCACTTGTCCCTAGCCCCAGCCCAAAACCGATTCCTAGAAGTTATATGAGTTAATTTCAGGTGGGTTGAGATGTGTCAACAAAACAGTTAGTAGTGTAGCATTCTGTTGAGTCTGGCAGGTCCGGTTTTTTGGGGGCCCCATTGACTCCTCAGGTCTTCCCACTCTTGCGCCCCACTTCTTCAATGAGACGGTTCACCTGGTGCCTTGCCGGCTTAGACTGTTTGAGGAGCTCATTTTATCGTGAAGGGCACAGATATCCGCCACTCTGCACAGCCAGCTGTTTCAGAGCGGCACTTTGCCATTCGTGGCGTCCTGCGACCCAGATGCAAAGTCCCATAAGATGCGTGCACAGAGTTGCTCATTATTGGGGCCACTGCTGAAAGCAACAAAGTTGCTGGGGGCATGCAACTTGCCATTGCGATTGGGAGATGCAAAAAGATGTAAGAGATTGTGAGAGAGACACTGAGACACTTCAAGAGGCAAAGGGTCTAAACATACACGCATTCACAGATATAACTGCATCATTAGACGCCCATCTGCCAGGCGATGATGCCTGGATGAAAGCACACGCTTAGTTCCAACGCTGATTTCGCGCTGCGAATTGGCCACCCAGTATAGTATTTATATATATACATATATATACCGTATACCGATGTATACCTCAAATGTATGCACTTCCGAAGTGGTCAGTCTGTGACCGCCCCTGATGCTGATTCTCCCACCTTGATGTCGTGTGATTGGCCACGTCTTCTCCCCACCTTCGACCGGCTCACCTAGGCGTATTTTTGCCCATGCCAGTGGACGGCCCGCAGTTCGCCGTGTGCCAAGCCTTCCCCCCGCCCTTCATCTCGGCTGTGCGGCCACGCGAGGAGAAACCCAAGGAGGATCAAGGTCACTTGATGGCAGAGGGTGGCTCTTCATGCACATGGAATGGCCCCATGTCCGGATGTGGACTGCCTTTCCCGGTGCGAGCTTCAGAAGGTTGTAGAGTTGACTAGGGCTTCCGAACAGTTGGGTTTTGTTAGTGAGTTGCCATGGCTGGCTATGTTCAGGTGGAAATTGGACCTGTTCTCAGTCAACTGTCCATGGAGAGACCCCTCCGAGGTGCCAGGCCCCTATTCTTCCTGACGGGCTATGTCGATGGGCTGGTGGATGTGCAACGCGACAGTCCTGCACCAGGCCTTTGCTTGGGATGGAATGGCTACACTTGTGGCGAAAAGAACTGGAAGGATCACAAACCAAAGAACTGCTAGAATCGCCCTTGTAAAGGATGTCCTCATCTTCTATTCCCTTTTGACGTGCCGTCATTTTTGTTGAACAAAGCCTATCCACCCAGTCTATTCTCCCCATACCTACCAAAAAAACCCGCACGCACACAGTTTGACCGCTACCAACGGATGTATTTTGTCTATAATATATGTTCCATGCCCTGGTGGTTTCCAACCGCAACGTCTTAAACTTGATCTCCAATCGCAATCGGTCTTCCTTTGAACGCGTGGCGTTCGCGGGGCAGGGGCTGCGGCGACGCCCCTGTCAACCTCTCACGCCGTTCCTTGGTCCAGTTCCGTGGAGTTGGGTGCCGAGCTTGGAGGGGTGATTTGAACAGGATGCTTTTGGCATCATTTCTGTAGCCACGTATGTGGGTGTGTTTTCTTGTTTCCCCCTGTGCCAGTGAAACAGATGAACAGAAGTCCAGACTTAGAGAAGGCCAAAGGGACTATGGACGGTCTCCTAGCTATATGAGACGGGAATATTTTTATATTATATATACTTATAAGACTTGGGTGTTGGTTCGGGAAGGTCGGTTTTGACATTTCTTGCTATTTTTTGACCCCACGCCCTGGACCTTCTTTTATCCTGAGGATGAGACACTGGTGGTGGAGGTGAAGCATCGCATGGGCCGGATCAAGGACAGGACGTTGGTGGCCATTTCGGTGTTGAGTCTCATTTCAGCGATCTGAAGATCTCATGGTTTTAGCGACCCCTGAGCTAGACCTTGACTGGCAAGGTTTAATGTGTAAACAACATGTGTAAACAACCAATAGGATCCAATAGGTATATGTTACAAGATCGAACCCTGAAAATGATGATGCAGAAGTGAAGGCGATTTTCATTTGGGCCAATGCATGTTTTTGCTGCTTTCTCGCCTCTAGCCTATGATGCCAGGACCCTCCAAATATCTATGATGTGGTGCAGCTTTGCAGCTACTGTCGGGCTTTGGGCTGCTTAAGAGGCGACCTCGTCCAGTGCCTGCGGGGCAAAAGAGATGGAGACCTGGGCTGCAGAATCCCAAGATGGTTATGCCATCCCACCTGAAGATGACCGCTCCAGGGCTGAGAGCCCACAGTAAGGAGTTGGTGGCTAAGCTTTTTTGATTACGCTCTACTGGGGGCCATCAAGTAGGATGGGAAGATGTCCCAGACCTAGCTGGCTCTCAAGCTTGCTGCCATAAACTCACATGGAACACCTCACGGAAGTGCAACACCACTAGAGGTGAGAAAGGCTTCTTGAGACTCTGTGGTGAGCCAAGCAACTGGCCCAACCATTCTTCAGTTCCACCATCATGGGACTCTTGGATCTAGTATAGTCATCCGTCATCCTGCAGTAAGGACGGTCGAACCCACTGTCCTTTCAGACCCTTTTTCAGGGCTTTGCCAGGTGTTCGGTGTTTGCTCTCCCCACCTGTTCCCTTCAGCCCAAGACCGACCCCCCCTGTTCCAGCAGGACATCACAAGACCGTCAAAGCCACGGTGCGGGACAGGAGTTGAACTGCGGTTTGACCTGGTTGACTCTTAGGAGACCCCTAAAGCCACCCTGGTTTGACCTGGTTGACTCTGGTTGACCTGGTTGGTGGAAGAAATGCTCTCCCCCTAAATTGCCACCCTGCCTTCCCGCGCCGTGAGCTTTAGCAGCCCCTGGCTGCTGACTCATGCAAGGAGAGCAGCTGCACGTGACACGCATCGACTTCTCGGATGCTTGGATTGGCACCGGGCGCCGGTCCCAGCGACATGGCCATCCATAAATCAAAGCAACCAGGCTCCTGAGTCCTTGTAAATGTGAGTTGGAGGATCCACTTGTGTTATTGTTTTGTTTTGTTTGTTATGAGGCTGTTGAAAGGGATGGGATCCTCGACCTTAGTGCTTGTACTCGTAGATACTAGCAATGTCCATCACCCGGTCAAACACTGTGCGCTTTCATTTGCTTTCAGGCTATACGATGCTTTACGTGGTATATGGGCCTATGGGGCCTTATTAGCTCCCCAGCGAAAATCGTCATCAAAAAGTGCGGGTGTATAGAAAACAAGAGCCAGACATCTACGTCCAAGTGATCTCTCGAGTTTTGAGTTTGTGGTGCCTCCGCTTTTCCCAGTGGTCTATTCACGTACGGTGTGGATATATAGAAATATATAGATATGATATGTCTTTATTTTATATAGGGTGCCCATGACATCCATGTCACCAATAATTGTTTGGATCCTTGCTGAAATACGGAGACTCTTCCAACTTCCAACTTGCGTGGGCGACTCTTGAAGCCTGGGAGACCCATCCTCCAATGCCTTTCCAAGCCATTGATCGCGTCTCCATTTCTCCATTTCCCGCTTGCAAGGCGAGGAAATGTCTTGGACAGATATGGAAACAGCTCAGTTGTTGACAAACTTCCGCAGTATGTGTGCCTGTTTGGTTATTGATGGTGTTGCAGTAGAGCGTTAGAGATGACATCCAATAGTGGTGAAGCATGTGAAGCGTAGGAAGATTTGAATGTTTACCAGCCCCCCTAATCCCTACATGACAATCCCCCATTTTTAGATTCTTTTGGCAATCAGACTCCGCGGCTGCAGGAGGGAAGCCCTGACCGAGTGGGCTTCGACCGGCACGTGTTGCCCAACCTCTACGCCACGTGCCATGCGGTCTACGCCGCCCGCGAGGACACGGCGTGGCGGGTGAAGTTGCTGCAGGCGCCTCCGGAGGAGCGGCGATTCTTGGTGGAAGTTGCCGGGCGCCAGGTGGTGAAGAAAGACAGATCAAGACCTTTAGTGAGGAAGACACTGACGTTTTCTACTGATTCTTTGTTGACGGTTTTGGGCGCTGTGTGTTACAACATCATTTGGCTCACTCTTGCATGGTGAAAGAGGCCGCTTTCTTTGTTGACTATGCCGCTATGGCATTGTTGAGCCAGTTGGCTAACTCCTGGCCAAAGTATGAATAGAATCTGAAACTATATGGGGGTGAGCACGTATGCCGCCGAATGCCCCTCAAAGGACATGTGTTCCTCTCATCAGGTTTTACTCAGAGTCAGTTGGTTCCAGGAGACCTGACAATGGTTTGAGCGAAGTGCAGCCGTGGATAGGTCTAAATCATTTACGCTTCCTTTCTTGATGCCTTGACAAGCATTATAAGTATTATATACAATACAACTAGGTGATGGTTTCGGATATGTTTATTTTCAACCCTTACTTGGGGATGATTGGACGCCTTTGACTAATATGTTTCAAGTGGGCTGAAAACACCAACCAGACAAGAAGCGCATGGAGCTGTGGCACTCCTTCGTGTTCCACCGGTCCGGCCCGCCGCGACGGCTTTAAGGCCAGATTGTGGGGCAACTTTGCCCCCACCTGGACAATTGACAAGTGAGCCGTCAAGTGAGTAGAGGTCTTGAAGGCCGATGCCTGCCCAAGTCAGGTCGAGCTCAGTGCCAAAGACTGTCAGATCTTCACAGCTTAAGACGAACGAGCTCGCCCAAAAAGGGCCACCGTGACTGGGTTACCAGGCAATCCAATTCGCCAGACGCGCATGCACGCATGGGTCAGAGGGGATGTATGTTTGTCCGGGCCGCTGGGCACACATATGGACGGAGCCAGCCAATGAAGACGAGGCCCTCCAGAAATGTTTGGAGCAGACAAGATGTTCAACATGTTTGCTTTGCCAAAACGGCTTCCAACCAAACTTCTGTGGTTCTGCCAAAGTTCTTCTCTTTTGTTACTGTATTGGTTCGATTTGATTTCAGGACATTTCACACGGTGGTCCATCAGGGTCTCGGCTCAGTTGGCCAATGCTACGTAAGCTGCAAATGCCCAAAGCATCCAGAAAAGCAATCCTGTGGGGAGAAAAGGGTCTGCGCAGCCTGCAAGAGCAAAACGAAACACTGGGACCAAACCAGAAAGAACCAATTCAAAAGAGAGAAGGATTTGATCCAAACCGCAAAGACAATTCAAAAAAGATAGTAACTGGATGAAACTAGGATGTTTGGACTTGAAGATGGGTGGGGGGTCCATGGCAAACATGCTTTCCATCCAGATCTGAAGACCTATCATTTGACGAGTGCCAGTACTATTCGACCCCATGAACTGATCGTATCGAAGAAAACTGTTTGCACTTGTTCAACTAATGATCACTTTAAGCAAGCAAAAACGATCTTTCTACAGTCCTATTTCCTTTGGCCAATCAACTTTGACATGAATTCCGGACTGTGAACTGTGTTCGGCTGCACCCAAAAATGTTCGACTAGATGGGTGTCTATTTGTCCGGAGCTGTGCACCAAGGAAAGGTGGCATGGTGGAGCTGAGGCCGTCGACCGCTCGCACGTCACACGGAAGGGTTCGTGGGAACGACGGGTTCGTGGTGGAGCGAACGAGGAGCTGAGGTCATGAAGGCTGGCTATGGAATGGGTCATCAAATGCCGCGATAATAAGGCTTAAGGCTTAGGGGCCTTTGGGGTTTTAGGGCCGAATCCTCCAAACACCACTGCAGAGAGAGTGCGTTGGGCTCCATTCTTGGCTGCGGGTGGTGTGGCACAATCAGACCGGGCCCAGACTGACAAAGAACTCTTCGAATGGCACCAGTTTCCAGCGCACCATGGAGAAACCATGCACCACCTGAGCTTGACAACGGTTGAAACATGTTGGAACAAACCTTTGCGTTGTATCAATACACTGCCCGAGTTCGATCCTCACCCCGTGGAAAAAGACGAGACAATCAATGAAAAATACACTGTCCGACTATTTGACTGCACAATTAAATCCAAGACTGTCCAATACACCGACTATTGTCTCCAAATGTACAATAAAGGCCTTAAATAAGGGTGTGTGTGTGTATATACATAAGTGTGGTAAATGTATGCTGACATATGTATGATATACAATATAGACATATGTTGTTCCAAGATTGATAAAATAACATCTGGGATGACTGTATCCATTGTACTGCATCCGAGTTGAAGAAACCCGGCCCGACTTGATGGATATGGTTTTTGCACCGTATTCATTGCTGCGGCGTGGGGTCCATCGGCCGAGCCACAGCCAGGTGTGAGCCACAGTATGCTTACGGCAACACATCCCACGGAGAGGTCTGGGTCGCAGCCAAGAATGGCTATAGATGTTTGAGGAAACGAGTGACAATGCTGCATGACATTTATTTAACTTATCATATAGGTTTTGAAATTAGTTTTTGCAATCGAAGTTGAGGTGTATGCATATATATATAGTTATTGTGCACTTGATTACTTTGATTCTTTCAACAAAACGCAAGGAATGTAGCGCTAGAGAACGCGAGGAACTCTTTGGCCCGCATCACGGAGATGTTTCCTGACAAGCTAACAGGGAAAAACATGCTCCCAGCACACTGTTGAAAACTGTACTGCTCATCGGGATGTAATCCTGAAGGTTGAGGGTAGATGAACACAACGGAAGCCCATTCCGCATCGTTTGGACATCCAAGATGCAATGGACTTTCATGGCCACACAACCCTGCAGGTGACCATCAAGATCGAAGTGCACGAAGTTTACGTTGAGGAGGACGTGGGGTTTTGCAACGTTTTTTTCTCAAAGCTCTCAGCCGCCCGGTTGAGTCGGTATCAAAACCATTGCTCTCAGAACGCAAGGAAGCGAGGCGTACATTAGAGTTCATACAGGAGTAATGAGTCTCATAGGATGGCATGCCCGTCTTTGATCCCAAAACATTTTCTGTTGCATGAATATCATGAATGAATTGCTTTTCATGCCACACAGGTGTGCCGTGGAGGCTTTTTGAGCTTCATATTAACATGGTTCCAGGCCAGAGAAGACCCTTCATTGGTTTGGTCAAAGGCTTTGGTTCCCCCCGTTCCTGTGTGAGTCCTCGGAGTTTGCCTGGGTCTTCCAAACAGTTTGCCGTAGATTGGTGCTTGATGGGACCAGAAGAAGGACGTGACCCCCGAGAAGACCGGGGAGGTGAGGAAGAAGCAGATCCGAGAGGCGGAGTCGGGAAGTCCATCCGGTTTCGGGACCAAGCGGATGTGCGTTTCTGGTGGAATTAACGATTGCCCCCTCCAAACGGAGAGGGCGTCGGAGTATGATGCATGTCTTGTGTGTTTTTGGGGCCTTGAGTGGTTCCCATAGGCAAGGCTTGAGGTAACGAAGTGAGTTAAAGGCAAAAGGGGGTGTGGGAGGGGGGTGGTCGCGAGGTGGCCAAGTTCGGAGAGGTGAACCCAGAGCCTGGTGGGGGAGAGTGAAAAAAAGATGTGGGCCACTTGGTAGTGAAAATGTATTGTTTTTGGTGGTGTTGTGATGCCGGTGATGTAATTGACGGCCAGTAGTGCATCATCAGCATCGTGAGGGGCTCAGGAGGCGCGAGGCTATGGAAAGAGAACAGATTGTAGTTGCGGCTAAGCTTAGCGTTGCTGCTGGACTAAAGAGGGCACCCCCTACGCGGTGGGAGTTCCCGTGGATTGGGGGGTTGTTGAGGGCAGGAGAGAGAAGAGATTGCAGCGGGCAAGCGTTGGAGGCGGAAGATGGCGGAAGGCTTTGAATTGGTTAGGGGTGCCCTTCTTTATCGGTTGCAAGGTCTAGTTGCTGGACTGAAAAGGGGGCCCCATGCAGGACTGTACAAAACTGCGTCGCCCTGCGAGGGCTGTGCAAAGATACGAATGACATGTGTTAAGATCCCGTCCCTGCGACGAAAGCCTCCAAAGCTGAGAAGCACTGTTCCCGTGGATGGACAAAACGTCCGGAAAATGGACACTCCATATTCGAGCAGCACCTTGTGACGTATCACTATGAAACGTGGACATGGACCATCGTCTTGAGTTTGTGCAATCTCCTTGCTGCACCAGCAGTTATTGAACTACTTTGTACTTATGAGACTGCACGTTGCATCCATACCACAGAGGTTGGCAGTTTGGGGCCATTTGAAGTGGCCAGCTATTGCTGGAAACCATAGCACTTACTCCAAACTACATTCTAAGCTTAAATGAGAACAAGGGGATATCTAATCACGAAAGCCAGCCGTCAACTCACTTGACACATAGACCCACACACCATACCAAACCTTCCCCGGACTACAAGGGTGCATTTTTTCCCCTCCACAACGCCCCGACATCAAGACGCAAAAGGACACCCGGCCCCGTCCCAAACTTATGTATTCTACTATCTATTTCCATTCTTTCTCGAGTGACGGCCATCTCCACTTCACCACTTCCAGCTCCTCTTTGTCCACTCTACCTATATACATATATATATATACATACATATATATATATATATCCTCACGAAAGCCTGCCGTCAGCCTCGCCCACAGGCCCCCCACGACCGTCTTTGGTCACTCATACTCATTAGCAACACGCACCTATGTCTTCTACTTTCTGTTTCTACCCCCTATCAGTGTGCCTGCGACGTCAACTTCACCCCATGAAATTAATCTTTGCCCGATGTTACTCCATCACTTCCTCTTACGTGCCAAGTCTTTGCCCAGGCCTGCCCTGAGGGCATCCCCTAAGCCAGAGGCTGGCTTTCATCCCCTCCCTTCTCAGGTAAGTATATATATATATATGTATACATATAGGACTAATGAAGTTTGGGTGGTTAGGTTGGATACGACATGACATGAAACCTTTTTAGTCCAACCATTTTCGGAGTGAACCTTCAGCATGGAGTGCTGATCGACCCCGAACGCCCACTCCGTGCAGCATGTCCATCCCCAGAGACGGACTTGGGACTTGGGCATTTTTACTTGACCCCTTTTCAGTCCCAATGTATAGTATATATAAATACCTCGAATCCCTCTGACCACCGTTTTGATAAGAACATACCAAAAGATCCTATTTTGTGTGCTTGGTGGTGCCTACCCACCCGCCCGTTTCCATTAGCTGGGTGTTTGTTCGGGCGATCGACGGCTTTGGAGCGAAGGGGGTGGGCAACGACTCCCCACGTGATACCGCGCAAGTGGTGCTCATCGTCGAGGCTGGGTGACTGGACTGGTTGGGGCGACGGGTCGAAGAAGGTCGCGCATGAAGGTCGAAATGGTTGGAAGGAACATCAGCTTCATAGGAACGTTTCATTCAGTTTCTATGTCGACCTGAGTTGTTTTTTTGTTAGTATGAGGAGCTAGAAACTACTGGTAACAAGGGCATCGCTACTAGTAGCTTCGTGTTACTAGTAGTAGAATCTTAGCTACTAGTAGCGTCCTTGCTACTAGTAGCGATGCACCTTGTTACTAATAGTTTCTTGGTGATGCTGGCTTTGCGTCTTCCCTGGCAGGTGGTCCGTGGTGCTAAAAGCGGCGCCGTGATCGCGTGCTTCGATGGCCCAAACGTGCGGTGCCCCAGAGCTGGGCAAGGCTTGGCAGCACAGCTTTTGCAGCACCGCTTTGCCTCCCGGCCTGGTCCAGGTGTTTTGGTTGAAGAACCGTCAAATGTATATATATATATATGCGTGTGTGTGTGTGTGTGTGTGTGTGTGTTCATT